CAACACCAACTGCACAGCATGGCAACAGCTCCATTTTTGCAATGTCTCTCAATGAATAAACAGGAGAGTCCTCACTACTCTCCTGCCCACTTCTCTGGGCAATAAGTTTACTTTCTGGACCAGTGCAAATTCTGTAAATAAGACTATTTGAGACAAGCATACTTATCAAAAATACATAGAAGAGAGATCTCGGGTCTGACTACTTCTATCACCAGAAGTTCTCAAAGACTAACCTGAAAACCAAGCAGAGTACCTTAAAAGCCTTGCTTGGGAGCACAAGGCATGCTGGCTGAACAAGACATGATGGCTGGTACTTTCCAGTCCTTAGACTGACTCCTTGTTTGGTTTTGTTTCTTTGTTTTTTCTCCTGGATCTTTTAGCTGAAGGAAAACTCTTTTCCTTCTCCATCTCTTAAAAGAATGTAAAGGGTGGTGAGCCCCATCCCCACACTGCTCCAGTGCAGCTTTGCTGAAGATGCCAGAGGGCATTTCCATTATGTAAACCCCTGGTTGTACAAGTCAGCATTTCTGCCTGCTGAATAAGAAAAAAAAAAAATCACTACAAAAAAAAAACTAAAATCAGCTGCCTGGACTGACACAGAATACATCCTATAGACAAGGCTGGGGTACCAATGCCTGTCAGAAAGGCCAGGAGATGCCCTACTGAGGCCACCAGCTTGGCAGGCAGGCAGCCACTTACTTAAGTCCTGCAAGTTGTTTGGTAGGAAAAAAGGTTGGGAAGGGATGAGAGGGGACATGAGAGACATGCAAAGCAGAACCCAGTAGGCAGCCACTCACTTTTTACAAGTCTTGCAAGTTGCTTGGTTGGAAAAAAGGCTGGGAAGGGATGAGACGGGACATGAGAGACATGAAAAGCAGAACCCAGCAACTCTATCACATCAACAGGAGATGCTCCCTGAATAACTGTCAACAGACAGGTGCTAGGACTACCAGAAGAAAGCTAGTTCTGTGATATCAAGCAGGAAGACAGTAACAGATGAAGTCCAAGACAGCTATGGGGAAGCTGATTACCAGACCAGCTTCACTATAAACCAAGAGTGTATTCTCCTGGTTTGTAATAGCCAAGGATTTCTCCACCTTTAACAAATTTAACTCCACAAGGTATGTGATTAAGAGCAGTACTGTTCTGACTGAGGAGCATAAGGAACAACTTATCATCAGGCCTCAGTGACTACCAGCAGGGACCTGATGCACAATCTCCTCAAGTCCTGGGCTAGCCCTGCTTACAAAAAATGCAGTAACCAGTTGCCAGAGGTCAGCTCTGGAATTACTTAAGTTGAGATCTGCAGCAGTACTTCTGCTCCAAGACACAAGGACTCCTACCAGATAAGAGGATAACTGCAATCAACAACAAAACAAACAGCTTCTTAATACCAATTAAATATACAAAGCTAAAATACACCTGTATGGAAGAAGCCACTTCATAAAACAATCCACTGAAGGCATCTTAAGACAAACACTGGCAAAGAAGTCGTAAATAAACTTGTAAATAAAAATATAGCCTTACTTTGTACATCAGGAGCTGATCCTGATCCAACATTGACAGGGCCTGGAACTCCTCCAATAATCAACATTTTAAGTTATGTGCTCCTATTTCCAAGGCAGAGCAAGAAGATGAACAGCAGCAGAAGCAAAGAAGCTCTCGTGACCTCCCTCTGTAGCGGTGGTCCTCAGCTACCAACAGGAGATGGATGAGAAGGTGCTTAAGGATAAACCAGTCTGTATGCCTGTGAAGCTACCAACAGCTCTGCAGGAGGATAACTGAAAGCCCAAACAAATCCTCCTGTTGCTATTACATTCAGAGAGATACTGTTTCAAATGTGCTGGACCTACTCCTAGTCCATTTCTTAATTAGGCTGCACAAAGCAAAACAAAATTGTAATTCCAACAGGTCACTTCCTACCTTGCCAAGCTACATGACTTAGCAGAGCAGTGATGCAATAAGAAGTCATTACTCAAGAAAATGAAATCTTATTTATTCATATGGCCTCGAGCATATCACATTATGTAATTTGGGGATTCCTGTGCAGTGTGACAGATTCGTACGTATTTCTCTTTCTTTCTCTATCGTTTCTAAAGGAACATCTTGATAAAGAATATAGAAATCCAAACTCACAAACACCTTTGGGTTCCTTTTAAACTAGTCACTCCAAACTAGCACCCTCAGACATGCAAGTATTATTCTCCTCACACTGTGAGATGTGGTAGAAAGGGCAAGTCACACAATGCAATTAAAAACACAAAACGTCAACAAATTCAACAGGCTTGGAGTGGGGTTTTTAGAACCTAAATTCCAGAACAAACCAAAAAAAAAGAGTTACTACACTTGGTCTTACTTGTTTGTGAAGGAATACGCAAAAAACCTCCTTCAAAAAAAAAGTTGCTTTGCAGATTAACATTTCTGAAAGTGCAAAAATCCCCTTTTTGTCTATCTCATTCTTTAAGGTCACTAACTCCAGACCATCTGGATAATAAAGTTACCATCTTAGTTCCCTATTTATCTAATTAAAACTTCTGTACAGCTCATACGGAAAATTTGTCTACAGCTAAAAAACAACTGAAGTGTAAAAAGCAGCTGCAGGGAAATGATGTCACTTGTACCCAGGGCTGCCTGTCAGCGTATCAGCACCAGGAGGATCCTGATTTATTGCTAGTCTCAGCTTTTGAGCCAAAGAACTTATTCAAAAAATTATATATACATGTGGACCTTTCAGCCAAATCATACTGAGTGATCAGCAGTAAAATTTCAGCAAGATTGTGATTTCAAGCATGGTTTTTTGTACTCACTTTTTTTTTGTACCTAACTGGTTCACTTTTATCAGCAAGGATAAAAAGATGAATCTTTAGCTGCTTTCTGTCACCTGAAACACAAGCAGCAAAACCACACAAAGCAGGTTCTTTTCTCTCATGGGCAGAGACCAAGAGGACTTGGTTTTGGTAATTTTGGCTGTTACTTATGTAAGTGCAGGTGATGAGAAGACAGGCATCATTTTGCTCCAGCAGGTAGCTCACGCTTCCACACCCATCACCTTCAGTGCACAACTCTCTGTCACCAAAAGGTAGTTGTTCTCAGTTACTACTTTTAATTTCCAAGCCAGTTAAGGATATGTTCTCTCAATTTGTTTCTGTGCATCACACACGCTGTCATTTGGGCCAAAGATGAGTGCAGGGGAGGTGTCCTCTCTCCTTCCAGGAGACCCTCCTCTATCAGGAGGAAAACAAGAGACAGATACTTCTGCAAGCCCAAAGGTTGAGGACTCAGGTTCAAAGCCTCCACATGAAGCTGCTGAGCAATGCTCTAGCAGGTTACAGATTTGCATGCAAACACTGACAAGCCAGTTCCCAGTAACCCCATTAATAAGTGAGCACCAGCTTTCGGCTGCAGCGCCTTCAGTGGTTTATCCCTCAGCAATAAAGGGCAGCCCCCCTCCCTCCTCTCTCATAATGAGGCAATTGTAAAAAGAACAATATAGACAACAGCCAAGACTTCTTCAAGAGGTTACACTCCTTCCTTAACAATAACACAGCATTAGAAAATAAACACAACGTTTCAGAGACGTTTCTAAAAAACCTCTAAAATCCTGGTCATAATCTCTTAGGCTGAAAGGATGTAAAAATTTAACATACACTTCTCTAAGTACAACACAAACAGAAACCTATTTCATAGCACCTACTCATCTGCTGGATCTGAATAAATTCAGTGTTATAATCTGGAAACAAGTTTAACAAATTGTTACACGAACATTGTGCCTAAGAAGTTAGACAAAACAGCTCCTTCCAGTCAACTTCAGACTCTTTACTACATGCACCCTAAGTGTATCCTATTAAGTTTTAATGGAAATATGTGTGTGTGTATATATATATAGAATTCAAATTTCAAGTGTTACCTTTTTGCTCCTAGACTGTAGACCATACTTGAGTATTCTAGTGTCCCAATTAAGCACTAGTTTTGGCACAATCACGACAATTCCATAATGCAGATTCAATAAATAAAAGCACCCTCCATTTCCTCCACAAACTCGTCACAGACTGCCCCAAAACCCCGAGCCTGCAAGCCTATTTTAAATAACCAAATCTTTGAATACGTAACATTGATATGTAACAACAGTGAGCAAACTACAAGCGGGTTGTAACGGAGCTCAGTTAACACATCTCTCAGAATACACTTACAAACTGAACATGGTTACTAAACTGCAATAAAAAGACTCAGCGATAACACAGAACAAATAGATAACACATCAGAACTACTGAAAACTTTGTTTTCAATAAATAGGTCAGCGGATTTCTCCAAAACCTTTTGCATTCTTTTACTCACACGTTTCATGTTGCGTTACTCTGCTCTGACTTACCCAGTGCATCAAACGATCTCTTTTCTTACAGCTCTTCACGTTTTTCCCAAGTAATTAGCAAGCTACATCCCCTTTGACAGAGAGATACTAACAAGCTCCTACAGTTTCCAGTAGGACAAGGAATCCAAAGCTACTAATGGCGAACAAGTCATTTAAGCAAAAAAGGATTACAAAGACTTGTTGCAAGAGGCTGGAAATTCACCCATATTCCAGATTAAGGCTTTCTGAGGAGCTCTTTTGTAATGAGTTTTGACTCCATTTTACAAAAAGATTACATTGTTTTCTTTTAAAAACCAAAATATTGGTTTGAGTACTAATAATGTCTCCTTTTTGAAAGCATGAAGTATTAGAAAGATGGAGAAGTGTTTTCCAAAGGGAAAAATGATGGAAACGTTCGTTTTGTAACAAAACCTCCCTCCTTAAGATCTCAAAGTTTAAATGAGTCACACAAACTTCCCTAAAAAGATTTTCCATTCTTCACTACCACGGCACCAAAGCAAGCTGCAAATCGAGCCAGAGCTCAGTTATTTGTAAATCTCCCTTACCAAACCCCTACAACCACGTTCCTACTCAATAAAGGACGTTGAGGTGAGGAGGGCTCCTCAACAGGAAGGCAGAGAGAGTGACCTACCTTGAGGACCTCCATGGGCACCTGGGTGGCAGGGGGCAGGCTGGTGGGGACGCTGACGTTGATGGCAGGTGTCTGGCTGACGGGCACACGCTGCTGCATGAACTGGGCTGCTTGCTGCTTCTGCTGCTGCTCCCGACGCTCCTGCTCCTGCATCTGCTCACGCATGAGCTGCTGGCGTAGCAGGATTCGTGAGGTCATGCTGGAGGAGCTTAAGGGAGGCTTGGAAGCGCCAGGATGCTCGGAATTGCTGTGGGAAGGAAGACCAGAGAGAGACAGCTCAGCTTCCACGAGTGGGATCGTGGCTCCAGCTCACAGAACTCCAGGGGAACGCGGGGCGGGAGGGGCGAGGACGCGCCACGCGAGGGGCAGCTGGGAGCACACCTCCTGCAGGTGCTCAGCACCACCTTAGGCTGCCTTCACTGGACTGCAGCTGACTGTCCCCAAAAACCAATATCCAGCTGCCAAGAGCTCTCTGCTGTGTCAGTTTTTACAGCGACCATCCATGAGAACAAGCAATGCTTTTATAGATAGCAGCAGGCACTCGTATTGCTTGTTATAAAAAGTAATGAAGGGCTGTACCCAATGTAATGACAGGCACAGATTATACTGCAGATCTAATGATACAGCTCAAAAATAAATAAATCGATAAAATTCATCTACCTCTTCCATTAAACCACAACATAACGTTCAGCTGTTTTCTGCAAGATGCTTCCTCAGGTTGGATTAGCTAGTAGTGACATTCTTCATAGCTAGAAACCAGACCCAAAAACCACCTCAACCCAGCTCCCACTTCAGGCCTCCTGAGTGCAGTGACATGCAAATACAGGCAGAATAAATAACAACAGCTTTATCTCAGTCACACTTTACAAAGCCTAGCAGGCTGGCCCCAGCTAGCACACTGCAAGGCTTCACCTCCTCAGAGCCACTGCTAAGCCACTGGCCAACAGAGCTGCAAACAGAGCTTCCCACCAAACAGCACAGACACACCATGGGACTCCACTATCAATTGCAGGGACACCTTCTGAAGCAACCCATCATTTTGTTAGCCCTCAGAACTAAAATTCATTTACATTTCCACAGCATAAAGCAGAACAATTATGGTATGCAAATACCTAGTTGCATATCCTCTGAGAGAATGAGGTTGGAAGGAGGTAAAAAAAACCATGACTCCATGATAGAAAGAGCTACAGTGCATGTAGTTCAGGCTGTTTGGTTTCTGATCCTGGCTGCTGCAGCTGATGGCCATCAGTCCATGGAAGGAAAGAGTTCTTTAGGCCATAGTGATGCAGGGCTGTGGAAATCCCACCTCTGGCTCAACTGCTGAGGTGTTACCTGCAGGATGCTGCCAGGACAGTTTGCCAAGGAGCCAGCATCCCTTCCAGGTCTCTCCTGGAGGCTGCAGGTACCAAAAGCTACCTGTGCTTGGGCAACTGGAGCCAGCACTGCTGGAAGTTTTCCAGCTTTGTTTAGGACTGGTGTTGAGAAAGGTTCAGAGCAGACATGAAAAGGGAGAACCCACACTTACTCCCCCAAGAGATCAAACTCTGCTTTTCCAGAGCACACATTTGGGGGCAGGGAGGGAAGGAGGGAGGGACCATCTTGCTATTTAAGACCTGTCAGGTTGAAACATTCACAGAGACACTGATCCTTTTGATAAAACAAGAGAAAACCTTTGTGGTGAAACTAATGCAGCTGTGGAATAATCGCACTAATTAGCTGCTCAGGACAAGTCATTGACTGTGATACTTGTAAAAAATACCACCCTTGCAATTAAGGGCAAAGCATTCTCCCAGCTAAACCCAGCAGCCTGTTTCCTGGCTGCACATCAGAACCACTCACACACTTCCAAAGCAAGGACGTGCTTTATTTCCATGACCAGGATAGTTATAGATCAGTGGATTCCCAATGTTTTTGGATCATGTGCTGCTACTAGGAAGTAATGTTTGAGCCTGCACTTTCAATAGATGTATATTTGTTTATTCATTGTATGCTTGTCTTACTGAAATGCTAATATTTTCTTCCTGCCCACCAGTAATATTACTGAGAGCACTGTAAATAGATGAGTAAAAAAAGGCACTCAAATGCCGTTTTTAAGGATGGATCTATTCTCCTCCTGTTGAGGAAAAGCTCGTTTTATACCCTGTAAGCAAGATTCTCACTTGTATGCTATTGGCATTTTTTATAGATACCTAATGCTGCAAAATTGGTACACTGGCAGTTCCTCCCACCTTCTTTCATTTTAAACTGCTTCTCTGCCTACAAAAGCCAAGCGTGCTGGAAACCATCTCAGAGGGACCCTACTACTTACTAACATTTTGGGAATATGAGGGAGAAGGAAGAAGAAATCACTTTCATGGTATTTCAAATAACCCATGCCAGGAGCCTCACCTCACTCACACCATCACTGCACCTACTCACAGGAAGAACTCAACAACTGCCCTTACAGCTTCCTGCAGGTGATTCAGGGCCTCTACTGTTGACTAAAAATTATCACCAAAAGCTTCAAGTATCATTTCTTTAAGAAACAATAGTCCCAGGAAATGTTGTTGTGCCACATTCTTCCCCAAAGGGCTGAGACTCTTCCAGATTTTATTCCCTTTGCAATCTTGCTCAATATTTTAACAATTTACTGGGGGGAAAAAAAAAAAATGGCTTAGATGTAATTAGGTAGGTAGTGCAAGGTCAAGCAATGTGCTCTTTAAACAAGCATCAACAGAAGAGCAGACACCAGTGATGGGGAAGAAGAGCCTGATCTTATTCACATTCAGAACACCAGATTTTGGTGGCCAGAGGAGGGGGAAGAAAAAGCTTGAGTGATTACTGAATGTCCTGTTCATCCTTATTTCAAAGGAGAAGCCAGAAACCAACACAGCTACAAGAGCCACAGCTCATTGCCCTCCCTTCATGAACATCACAGTGCTAGGCAGCAGAGAGCTGCACAAGTGGCAGAGGTGCTGCCAGACCGCAGCTACTGCCATCAACGCGTCCGAGTTCCAATAATGCTCCTATCTGGGATAAAAGCCACTGCACGACACCTGCCTGGCCAGATGCTCCTGTCACAGCACTGTGAAGGGAGCTGGACAAACACAAGGCAGCTCCTGCCAGGAAGACCTTCCGTTATGTATCCCCCCGGGGCTGTGGAGCTCTTCCTGTGCTCTCATCACACCAGACGCTGAAGCCGCTTCTCACAAGTGGCACTGATCAAATGTGGAAACCTGTTGGAACTTTGGTATCTCACCCCCTGAGCCTGCCCCTGTGTGCAGCACAGGCCATCCTCCCACCCAGCTCCCCTTCCTCACCACACCTGCTCTTCCTCTCGACCAGGACACATCACACCTAGCTCTGGGATGGAACCAACGACGGTTTGGGTTTCATCACCACACCCCCTCCAGGGAGCCAACAGGAGAAGGTTTGGCCAAACTCAGTTTTCCAACCAAAAAAAGCTATTGAAAACTTGCTAAGTCAAAGGCTTCATCAAGTGAGTTTTGAGAATTTGTAGTTTTAATGCTTCCTGACCTTCACCTGCTGCCACACGAGCAGATCCCCTCCCACGATGGAGCATGATGCCATTCACCACAGTACCACCCAGCACCTGGACACGTGGCTTCAGGACTCTCATACATGAACTGATTCACCCCCGGATTATGTAAAGTGGGTAACAGAGCCCACACACACAACTGATACACGATGTGACTTGGAGACTTCCTGCAAACACAGTTCATGGATACCATTTAATTGCAAAGAATTAAACCGACTCATCCTTTTAATTGACATGATTAAACCGGTTATCCATCAGCAGTCTAATAAGCATAGTGTAATACAGACTGAGAGTTATTAGTTATGAGTGTCACGTGCCAATCCAATTAATCACAAAGTGATAACGTTTTATTAAATAAGTTTAAATTGCATATCCTTTGCACAGATGCCTGAGAAATGTTCCTTACTGCATACAGAAGTCATAACGCAGATGGCTGTTGCATAATAAAAGGCAACAGATCAGATTAAAATCAACTTTGATTTTGCTGCCATCAACTCAAGAGATTACAGAGACCATACCTTGGAGAGTCTAATCTACCTTCCCAGATGTGTACTGATTATGTTATCTCTGTCTCCTTGGGCAAAGAGACAAACTAGGCTTTTGTTGGTCAGTTTTGTTTACAGATTCTTAAAACTTGATCAAACACCTTCTCTGGTTCACATGGATTGCTTCTAGGAGTTGTCTGGCTTACAAACACTGTTTTGCATTAGCTATGTATTTGCTAAGGAACTTCTCTGGAGATTTTGAACTGGAAAAAAATTACTTAACTCAAATTTGCTTTTTAATTACTGTTTTAGAGATTAAAGAAAGAAGATGCCTCCAATGTAAGGTTTCTTAGACAAACGACAGTAATAAAAACACAGACCAACTCCTCAAACTCAAAGCTTCCTCAGAGATGAACAAGAATCAAATAAATTTGGTGGGTTTTGTTTGTTTGTTTTTAAAACAAAAACCAACTTTCAAAACCTCTTGCTCTGGGCAGGATTGACTACCCTGCTCTAAGCAGAGAGGTGGCACACAAAAGGGAGGCCACTGCTCTCCTCTGCTCATGCCAACTGTTTGTTAATGGGTTAGTCCACAGAGAAATCAGCCAAGAAAAGCAGATTTAGCACCTCCAAAAATCCACTGAGCTGCACCAGATCTCATAGGTCAGAGGTAAGAAATAACACGGGATTTAAATGCTTGTGTTTCACATCTTACCCTTATCCCATTCATAATTATTTATAGAAGAAACAAAGGTATTCACATTTAAGTATCTGACATTAGCATAAAACTACCCCTGCCTTTAAAGCAAGCAGATGAGAGGTTGCCAACATTACAACTCAAATACTTGGCGTGACCTCCAAGATATTCCCAGAAGAGACCACCACACAGCTCCCTTTCCAACACCTCTCCTGATCAATGTCCACCAGAGTTTCCTCAAAACTGAAGTTTATTTGTCCAGATTCTGTTTACAGTCTCTCTAACAAGCAGTAAAACCTCATTTAACTCTTATGGCCAGTACTATATATGTGGCTGAAGGAACAACGCTTCTGGGAGCATCTAACCTGCCATCTATCCCTGTTTGCCACAGAGAGGGGTGACAGAAAACAGAATGACACCAAAAGAAAAAAAAAGAAAAGGCAAGAGGGAACCAGATCACCCCCTAAAAAAACCCAAGCCCCCAAACCAAAACACCCACAAACAAAGCAGCCCCTTAGACAAACTCTTCTGCCCCTCCTTCAGCTAAAGCAAGGGATTCTAAGTACAGGAGAACTAGTAGGGCATTTTCCCTGAGGCACTTTGTACTTTATTCCTAAAATTTAATAATTGATTGTGGGTCCCAGCGATGCTCCACTCATTCAGCAGTGCCAGCCAGCTAAGTAGCAATGTTTAAAAACCCAAACAGTTGGCACCCTCCAATGTCCTTCCTTGCCAAGGACAGAACAATCACATAAACAGTGTGGAGACCCTTGTCAGTCTCTGTAATAAAGCAAGGACTATGTTTCAGGCCTCTACACCAAAGGTTTCCATGTCTGAAGGTTCCATGTTTCAAGAGACATGCTGCCTGCTGTTCCATCTGCTCCATCCTCAAGGTGAACATTCTTCTGTCCCTCCAGTGCTTTCCCATCATGACCCACACCAGCTCAGAGCTGCTGTCCTGCAGCACCATCCTACTCCACAGGCTGCACCCACAGACCAACCTCAGCTCAACAGGCATCCATCCATCTTCCCAAATGGACAATGAGCACCTGGTCAGCAGAGAGAAGGAGGAACAAACCCTCAAAACATCCACCATGCAGATCTGCTACAGGAGCTAAGGGTTCAATTACAAATCAAATTATTTCAGTGGATACATTTCTACTTAAAAAAAAAAAAATCAACATCAACAAAAACCAGCCACACAAACAAACACTTCGTTTAATCCTCAGCTAAGAATTCTTTTAAGTAGCTGTACACCATTTAGTAGTTTTCCATTTTTCTTCCTGTCTTTAAAACACACCTTCACAAGCTGCTGAACATAATGCTTTCTGAATTTAATGAAAACCTCTCTCATGACCCAGGAGCACTCAGTAAATAATTATTAAGCTCTGGAGGTGGCTTTTGCATGAGTGTTGACTTAATAAAATGCCATAAGTTGATCTGCTTGAATGCCCATTTACTTGGGGACACAGCTTGCAGTATAGCTTGGCAAGCTTGATCACCACCAGATTAAGGAACAAGGTAAAACTAAAGAGGTTCAATCTAGAAGCTGCAAAGGTCACATTTTACAATCCTTTACTACCATTCCTGTTAAAAGGGAGGTGAATAATTGCAAATCAAGAGTATTCTCAAAGACTTCTATATAATAATCACTACAAAGTCTTTTTATGCCTAAACTGAACCTCCATTAGCCCAAATGTGTATTTCACATGAACTTCCAGAAGAAGCTGAAAGATGTGTGTATATATACATATAGATATTTAGGGTTTTTTTAAACATAGATTGTTTTATAAGTCTTCCCCATCTGAAAGCCATTATCTCAGCTGGTCAGCCAGCACTCCTGTGTCCCTGCAGGATACAGTGGCCAGCTCCCAAGTACAGTATTTTTAACTCCCCCAACACAATCTGCATCACAACAAATCAATCACACAACCTGCTCACGGTGCCGTCGCTCTGGGGAAGCGTCACTTACAGACAGAAGCTGTCAAAGGAGCAGGGCATGAACATCTGAACTCTAACAGCCTCCATCTTTCCCCCCCACTTCGTGTCCAAGGGCTTTTCCTGAGCACCCTGGGGTGAAAGTCAAGTGGTGTCCCTGCCGGCCGTGTCTCTAGGGGTGGCTCCAGATAAGGACCTGGCAACTCCAATCCCCGTGGAGCAGCAACATGGGCAGCAGTGCCCGGTGCCTGCCAGCACTGCAGACCTGTGCAATCCAGCACCTACCCAGGAGGAGAGAAGGGCCGCTCAGGAAGCTGTGTAAAAGGTCTTCAGATACCACAAAAGGACAGCCCAGAAGCGTGGAGTCAGGATCTCGCCGCATCTTGCCTCACCTGCATGGGAGTACTGCCCAAACCCTTGATGGAGACAGCCCGGAGCAAGGTGTGGGTCTGCAGGCAGCAAAGACAGAGCCCAGCACTGCCAGGGGCTGAGAGTGTTCTCAGACCCGTGCCCAGGCAGCTGCACCACCCTCACCGTCCCGTGGATGGACAACCTGCCGCAGGTCTGGGAGAAACGGAAGGCGCAGGTTGGCACTGAAAGCACTTCTCCCATTCATTAATTAAAAGGGGTGTGGATCAGGCCATTAATGCCATCAGAGGAGTGGATAAGGGCTGTCTAACAGCACAGTTTTCTCACGATCTTTATCACCAAAAAGACAAAGGGCAAGGGGGGTGGGGGGGGTGCAAGACAAATTTGTTTTCTGGGACATCGCTCCTTAGTCAAGCCTCACCTAGTTGAACCTCCTCCTAAGAACCACTGGAGGGGCACCTCACAAGAGCTAGACATGCATCTCTAACGTGTACTGGAGGTGACAATGTACACACTGGTTCCCTAGTTCCACCTCTGCTCAAACAGGCTGAGTCCCTCAGGCAGGAAAGAAGCAAGCAGAAGACACCTACACACACAAATACCTCAAGCTCCCCAAAAATGTTCCATGGAGGGTTAAAGGAATTTAAAATTTAGACAATTGCATTACCCAATATTGGTGGCTTTTCCTCAAACTTTCAAAGCCACCACAAACTTAGAGAAGATATTATTAGAAAAAAAAAAAAGCCATGAGGCAGATTTGTCTTTCAGTTGAAAGCCTGACCTTGTCAAAGGCTTTTTGAACCATTTTTCAGACACCACATCTATGGGTACTTCCCTCTCTAAAGAGCTCTACACACATTTGCAAAACAAAAAAGACAGATAACTAAAACAACCCAAGAGATGATAAAAGAAAAAGGGAGGAGATAACACTCCACCAACAACCTCTGTAGTTCTTGATTTTGTAATATAGAATTTACCTTCTTTTATCTGGGTAAACAGGGAAGATAACACCGTCGCCGAGAGGGAAGATGACGTATGGTCCCCACACTTCTTGATACTTTCCAGCTACCTAGTGCCCAGATCTGACTCCACGTCACCTTTCCATCATACCTTGCTTTGGAAATTATCTATCACATACATAGCTGGATAACAAGTTTATTCACAGAGGCAGCCTTGTAGAAAACAAGGCTCGACCGTGTTACATTCATAGCTTGTACCAGTCATTCACGTGCTCAGATTCCCTCTCCACCAAAAAGCCACCACACTCCTCGAGGCTTAGGGTGACCCAGCAACTTCCAGCCTAACCCCTTCTGCTCAGCAGAGGTTTTCTACTCAGTGACTCTTAGAGCCTTACACTCCAGCTTCCCCAGGACCAGGAGGCAGCTGAAGTCTCATCCCACCCAGATGATGTCCTCACTCTGGTATGCTGAGCACACAGGATCTTAAGAAGCAAAAGGGAAAGTGTTTATGGAAGATCTGCTTTAAACAATGAAGAACCCAAAACAGTCAGAATCCAAACCACAAAGTGAAGCCAGTGCACTGTCTGTGACAGGTTGGTGTCACCAGTGTGCAGGACTTGCCTGGCACAGTGAATACAACGAGCAAGGGCACAGATAACCCCTAACACATCCCTGCAACATCTCTAACATACTACCTAAAATCTCTAAAAATCTAAATATCTAAAATACTCTTGGACAGACATCATGCCAACTGCCACCTCAGCCTCCAGCCCCAGCACCAACTCTTCATTACAGGACCTGAGCAGATGACAGAGTTTCTTTAGCAACTTTTCTAATAAAGCAACCATCCAAACTGCAGAACCCAATTCCTCAGCATCCATGCATTCTAAACAAACTCCAGTTTTAGAATCCTCAAGCATTGCTCATAGTTGTTCTACATTTTTGGCTATTTGTGGAAGTTACTGGAGCAAAGAGGATTGTTTTACTCTGCAGGCTGAACAACTAGGGCAGAGGGGGAAGCCTCTGCTCAGCAACAAGTCACTTCACCAACCATTTGGATATTTATACCACAACTGCAATTTGCAATTTCAAGACAGAGGTACCAGCCTTGCTGCCCTGGGTACCCACAGCACAGCCAGCAAGGTGGGATAAGCTCCAGCTGTCCATGTAAAAAAGGACTAGGGATGTTTACAAACTTGCTCATCGAGACCAAGCAAAATGGCAGTGGTTCACTGGAGGAATTACCCATCTGCTAACAACTCCAGAAGATATGGCCTTCAATTCCCTTCCCTAGGTCATCCAATGTGACCTACAAGATCCCTGATGTGGTAACTGCAAACCAAGGCTCCTAGAGAAAGCAAACCCCAGCAGCCCAGCAGATAGCCCTGCCATGCTACCAGCAGATCCAGCAGCACCCCCTGTACAGACACATCCAGCCATAAGGTCCCTCTGACCCCAAGTAACTATCCCCAAATCCCAACGTCTCTCAGCTCAGAGATTTCACAAGATAAGTACAGTTCCTGTGTGCCTACAGCTTCTGGGCATACACTGTGGGTCATGGCACAACACCTCAGGGTCTGCTCTGCAGCTGGCTGGGGTAGGTCCATGTGAGCATTGATTTCAGGACCTCTTAACCCACCATCCAACAGCTCTAAATCCTATTTTAAGTTCATGACACCTATATGAACTGCAGTCTTTCACAGAAATACTTAGTACTGATTTAAAGACTGATAACTGATAATTAGCATCTCCAGGGACTGTTCTGGCAATTCACCCTCCGCCCCTTGAAAAAAAATCTGCATCTTGTTTCTAGCCAGAAACTGTTCATGAAAAACAGAGATAAGGAAAGAGGAAAATAATTAATCAATCTTGGGGTTGCATGCAAATGAAAGAACTACCAAATCAAACATGATACAGAACGAAGTCTCGTTCAAAATAAAAACATGCAGGCAACAGTTACACCCTCTGATTCTACAGTGTCAAATATCTACAGAAAGATCCTCCTTAATCTATTCAGAAATCTTTTCTTAGCACCTCAAATACAGCCCTGCTAATACACAGCCTTAATTTCCATTAGCAATCACCCTTCTGTACTGCATCTTTCTTATCTTGCATCTAAAATGCATAAGCTCTTCTCAAAGAGGACGCATCAGGAAAAATCCTCAGAAACACCTTTATGCAACCAAATAAAATCTCAAAAATCAATACAGTTCAAGATAAGGCTTTTTTTAAAGTAGAACTGATCAGCATGGTCCTTGTTTAACACAGTTTAATGACAACCAAGTATGACATGCTGTCCATGTCACTTGCTGCAGAAATACCACTTCTGATTTTTCAAAATACGTTACAGGTATTGGTTTATTTAAAAAAAAAAAAAAAAGCAGCCAACTGAAAACTATTAACATGCTTTTTTATTAGACCCTCTTAATCTCTCCTGCACTGCCAGAAGCATAGCACTTGAATGGCTATTTCTGTTCAAAGCTATATTTGTTGTGGAACTACTGCAAACTCCTGAATCATGTAAACAGAGGCAAGAGCCAAAAAATGGTTTCGCTGGACTTGAAGTTCACATCTGCCTTAGTTACTAGGGCAAAAAATAAAGGCAGGCACTTAGTTCATAACCAATAAATCCTGCAAAGACTACAGTTAATCATGAATTCTCGCAACAGGGTTTTGTTTAATCTGGTTTATTTAGCACTGGTGACCTTGGCAAAGTACCTGCAGGAACACCCACCGTTACTGTGGAGCAGCAATTCACACCTTCTGTTATTTTAGGCTACAGCAGAGGACTGTACAGCACTATATTAGTCAAGCAGGTTTATGAACTTGCTGCAAAGTCACCTGGAAATCATGTACAGTTCCAGACTTGTTGGAGCCCAGCAGCCAACAGTGTTTCTGTGCCTAAAAAGCCATATTATAACGGCTCTCAGTCTGGACTTGGTAGCAGCTCGTGTTCCTGCAAAATAAATGCTTGGCAAGCACGGTGCTGGGAGAAAAATGACCCCTCCATTTCTTCAGCTTCTTGGCTGGAAAAGGTTAGTGCTAAAAACTGTCTCCTTACCTTGACCTACCACTTTGGATGCAAAGTTCACCTCCTCTTCACTTGCCTTTTTCTATTCCTTCTCATCTTCCTCTGGCAGGAAGAATCCCCAGCATTCCCCAACTTGCTGGAAACCATGCAAAGCCCCAAAACAAACACAAAACCTCACGGAGGTGCTTTATTATCCAAAGAAAAAAAGTCTGGATTAAATCGTAGTAGCCTGGTTTTGCCATATAACCTTCACTGACTCCAGAAATGTAGTAGCTGCCTGATACAGAGTCCCCAATGTGTCTAGTACACCAAAAATCTTTCCCATCCTTTCAGAGAGAGGCTGCTGCAAAGCCACAATCAGGAATTGCAATTGGTTTTTCAAGCAGTCAGGGAAAAAAAAAAAAAAGAAAAAAAAAAAGAAAATATTTTTAGCAACCTCCAGAACAAAGATGACTTGTTATTCTTGCTTTGTTTTTCAAAGTGGATAATAAAATGACTTGTCCATTTATTCCTTCATTATCTACCACTTACTGTAGTTTAAGATTGTACAAATCAGGCAAAGAGTCAAAAAATATTCTACCTTAGAAATGTTAACCTTATACATTGTTATATTTCTATGTCCCTTCTCTTCACAGAGCTATAACCTGGTTATACAATTCCTAACCTTAATAGAAGGGCATATATCTGGTTTTGCCTAGAATTGACATTATAGAGGTCTTAAAACTATATAG